TTCTTGTTGGCCACATTGCTAGCAAAGATATATATAATCATGTGATAATTTTAATCTATAGGACAGGGGACTGATTGAGCAAAACCATTCAATCCCCTACCCAAAATTATAAATTGGTTCTTATTAAAGAAACAGAGAATTTAGGAAAATAATTATACAAAACAAACACTATTTTACAACTTCCCTCTAAACATAAAAGCCCAAACACAATTTCAGAGTCACCAATCCTGCTCTGAATTGCAACCTCTTGTGCTTGAAATGAGTTGCAGATTCGTTGCTTTGATGGATCTGGATGTTTACATAGCACTCTTAATATTACAATTTTTCAACTAGGTCATTGCAACTTCCAGAGTTGCAATTTGTTGATTGCAGAACCACTTTATCTTAGAGGTAGGATTGTTGCAAGCAACTTTTCAGCCAGCATGTCAAGCAGCCTTCTCTGTTCAGGCACTGTGAGAAAAGATTAAGATTAGGATGTCCTTGACAAATGATGCAGTTTTGATAAATAAGCCCCAGACTACGCACTCTCCTTGAAATTTTAATCACATTATTGTATCATTAGAGGATCAGATCAGCTTAGCCTTATATATGCAAGGTGGTTGAATGAAAAATTTCCATCTGGTAACATAGATAGTGGTTGAACTACCTTTGGTTTGCAACACAAAATGCTATCTGACAATCAAGTAGCTTCCTTTGTTCTGTGAAAATTGGTTGACTTTTGCTACACTTTAGAAATGAAATGTTACTAAAATGAACAGATTAATATTTTTTTGTAATATTTGCTAACAGGCAAAATAAAACTACCATTCCTACCGACTAACTGTCAGGCGTAGGACGTGATAGACCTACCTTTGCACCCAGAAGTGTTTGCCGTCTAACTGACAGGCGCAAGATCACCTTGAGTGCACTTCATCATTCCCACCGACTAACTGTCAGGCGCAGGGTGATGGGGCTTACGAAAAGAAGGTCACCGTCTAACTGACAGGCGTGATTATCTCCTTTCGCACTTTCAATGATGACTACCGTCTAACTGACAGGCGTAGAAACGTAGGGGCGTTGAGGTGTTATACACAAAGCTATTTCACAAATTACTTCAAAGCCTATTGTAAATACTGGTGATGCTATAAAGAACTACTTAGAAGAATAGTTTAATTTTTAAAAATTTTTAACATGCGAGATCCATAACAATAATAATAGTAAGTAATTCCAAATCATAGTTAGTTATTAATGCTACCCCTCCCTTTAACATGATTTTTTATTATCGCGTTTTTAAATGTACCACAATGACACGTCGAAAAAATTTTCAAAATAATTGTTTATTTGCCCCATGCTGACTGTAATTAGTGAACCAAAATTAACTACAAGAAAATTTTACAATTTTCGGTGTAGTGAAAACACACGTGCTGTTGAAGATTTTTTCAAGGTCATTCCAGCATCTGAATGGTCTTTGGAGGCCTACACAAACTATATTCTTGAGCAACCTGATGTTACAATCAACTTTGAACAAGTATTCATCAATTTCACAGAAAGTCTGGACCAGATACATCAGCTCTTTGTTGTTCCTTTATCTATTCGAACAGTCTGCCAAAAATATATTGATTGGCTAAAGGTATATATACTGTTCTTCATACTTCAATTTTGTAAATAATCATTCAATATTGAATCAAATTTATTTGTCATTACAGACATTGACAGGTAGGTATGTTATTGAAGCATGTCGAAAGTTCTTTGATGCTAAAATATTGCTAAAAAAGAAAGTTTCTATGAAAGCTGTTGTTGAGGTGTGTTATACATACATAGATATACACAATAGGGATATGTGTTAAAAGATAATACTTATATTAAAATGGTCATTACATATATAGGAAACAATCAATCTTACTTCTCATACAGAAGCATACCAATCTTATTTACAACCTTCTATCCTCTCAAATATTGAACCTCTACCATTTGAATATGAAATTCCATCATCACAATCATCCCCTGGTTCACCATCTATAATAAGAACACCTAATAAACGACCATTTGAAAATCCTGAAGTAAAGAAGTAAATATTCAATAAACCCTGTTTATCCTGTTTTGAGCAATTTTTAATTTTACATTCTCCTTTTTTAATGTTAAGATACTGTCAAGATTCTACTATTGTTTGTGCATTCGGAATGAAACCCAAAGATCTTGAAGCAGAAATTGGTAAAGAATTAGTTCAGGAGGTACTTTCAACACATAAAGTTAATCCTCTTCTATGGACATCAAAATTTGAAGAATACATTGATAATATATTGAAGGTGAGCATCTTTTTTCCATAATGTACTTTATATATAATGTGATAATATTAATTATCCCTCTCCCCCCTCTACACACACATATATAAAGAAAAGTGGGGATGAATTCGAGAAGGCACTACAAAAGAATGTGGATACTGGAGATGAGCTTTTTCATCTGTATTGTAAGAAAATTCTTATTGATTTGTAAGTTTTCCTTTTATGTGTTTGTCAATTACAATGAAAGGTGATACTGATATTAATAAAAAGTGCTTTTTCTTTCTTCTTTTTCATATACCAAAGTTATCACCTTGTTGATATTAACCAGTCCATGAGTAGAAAGATTAGTGAACGAAAATATATCACATACAATATTGCATCCCTTTTTAAATTTTATGAGACTACATTTGGTACAATAAGTTTTGATTGGATAGAATCTCACTCAAATGCTGCAAAAATAACAAAATCAGCAGATAACTCTGGAATTGTTTTGATTCCAAAGGAACTAGATTATCAGATGACCAAGAAGTGTGGCAAATGGAAGTGGCAGGACCACCCTGGCATCCTACCACCACACACACTATAAATGATACAAAAAAAACATTTCGATCAGATATCCTTAATTTAGTGTCCATATTGCAGAATAATTTGGATTGTGATATTGATTTAGCAATAAAAATCAAAGTTTTTTGCACACAAGCAATCGGTAAGTGATATTGTTTGTGATACAATAAGTTTAGAAACTCACAATTTTATTATTATTGTCTTTTTCTAAGGTACTCGCCTCACACTTTATGCATTGAACATACTCCCAGATGGTCGATTTCTTGCCACAGAGCTGATCTCTGCTGTTGTCCCCTTCTCCTGGAGTGGCCGTAGCAAATACAAAGCAATTTTACAAATGATGTCAATTTTCCATGTGTGTGTTCAAACAATCTTGTATAATTTTTTTTATACCCATTCAATATTAATTTATGCAAAATTCTTGATATATTTATTTATAGGATGAGCTTACCAAGCAGGAAGAATTAATGGAGAAGATCAGCTTATGTTCATCATCAACAAATGAAATAACAGTTCGTCAAGTATTGAAATTGCCAGCAGAGATGTTTAAAAGGGTTTAATACAAATTAATAAATAATTAAATCAAGTTTTAAAAACATTTGAATTATATTTTTATTACAGAGCATTCATTCATTTTCCAAAATGATTTTATATGGTTGAAAAAATAATCTTTACAAAAGTCATTTATATATAAAAAAACTAAATAATAATAAATAGAAGGGATATTCCTCAGCTCGAACTCAAAAACTCAAGTTTTAACTCAAGCTAGCTTGAGTTGTTCAGAGCTTTACAATTAACAAATGTTTGTTGTTACCAATTATGTTATCCCCATAAGAATTTACTTTGTTTAAAATGATCTTATGAAGATACTTCAATTATTGTAAAATACACTTTATTCTTTATTAATTTGGGATATGTCCTTTTTATGAACAATTTTACATGAAACGTGGATTGATAACAGTATAAATAATAATATAAATAATAAAGCTTATCTATCTATCTGGAAGATTGTAGGACATAATTAATAAATAAAATGTAAAGGTGATGATGTGAAATAAATCCAAAAATAATGATTACAATTGAGACACTATTTTGATCCCTGAAATCCTTGGTAACACCAATGTTCACTTTGTCTGGTTTTGTTGCAGTATGCCCCATATTACAATTAATATCATTAAATAAATAAACATGGTTATTAGGCTTCACTTTAGCACAAAAATTTTTTTTTAATATTACTTACAATAATAATAATTTGTTGACTCTTCTTGATTTCAGTGTTGGAAATTGGTCATTTGGGTGGTTTTGGCGATACATCAAAGTCATTGAAATTAAAAAACTTTTAGCCGCTTGTCCTTTTTTGGGGGGAGGTAAAGCAGCCAGGGAATTGTTTGGCCGCGGCCAAATACCAACCATGCTTGATTTGATTCATTTGAACTATTTGAATACTAGTCTTGTTAAATTTTGTCATTATTTTTTTTTTAATGATGCATCAATTAAAAAATCCAAATCAACCAGCAGCTTTGTTCAAATATGATTTCCTTTGCTATCTTTCGGTCAATGCAAATAATTGTGATGTCACTGATACTATTATTCTTATAATAATTTAAGTATTTAAATTTCAATTTCCTTTGATGGTTTGTCAAGCGCATTGTAAAAGAAGCTAATACGTTGAAACTGAATTTAATTGCTAAAAAAAAGTTGTTTTGATACGCGTAGTGTTCGGTGTTACACACCTGATTTTGATATTTACTGTGCAGATCATCTATAATCAATTAATTGCTTATTGGACAACTTCAAATTAAATGGGCATGCTGCAACAAAACCAGACAAAGTGAACATTGGTATTACCAAGAATTTCAGGAATCAAAATTTAGTTATTATCATCACAATTAGTTTATAATGCCCCATTTGTTAAGTGATATATAGAACTGTCCCTATATAAAAATAATAAAATTATTAATATGAAATTAATTTACATTAGGTCTACCATGGAACCCAAGAATTATAGCACCATTAGAAGTATTTTGAAGAAAGAACAAGGAGAAAAAATTGCCCCTTATATTTTCAAAATAAATGATAATCAGGCATTGGAAACTTATCTAAGAAAAGAAAGGATTACCTATGAAATTTACCAAGAAGAAAGAAAAATAATAAGCATTAAGAAAAGAACATTAACACAGAACCTAGAAAATTAGGAGAAAATAATTTACATAACCATGTTCTTCAAATGGTATTAGCACTAAATTTGATTTTCTCATTGTAAAGACTTTCAGATATCAGTGGCAGTAGAACACTCATTAGTTATAATTTTACATATGGATTGACTTTTCATCTCCTTGATTTAAAAGGCAAATTTGGTTTTTTTAACTTCACTTACCTCTTTTCGAGTTTTTGTATAGTTGAGGAATGAACATTTGATCCTATTTTACAATGTCTCATAAAAACTATATCCTTCTTCAATTAGCATAATAGCCTTGATCCTTTGTTTCATTGTAAATTGTTTCTTTGAGAGGAGAATTGACACTCTTTTGTTAATTGCAAAAAAAAGATTTCTTGGAAAATTTATTTTTTTTGTTTAATTGTAAATTATTGAAAAAAAAGGAATCAAAAAAAATTTTTTGTTATTATTATATCCTTGAAAAAACACATTAATAATAATTCAAAGAAATTTGATTTGTAAAGTATTTGCACTAATACTTAAAAAATTCCTAATTAGTTTAAGAGAAAAAATTTTGTTTTTCAAATTGGTTAGAAACCTGCAAAATTGCATAATCAATATTAATAAGTCACGTTATTTGTATTAATCATTCCTTTTAAGGAAAGATTAACTCAGGATTTCCTCATATAGGTATAAATCACATGGGGAACGGTTAGAACCGCACAGAACCGGTTCCCTAGTGGAACCGCCCCATCCCTAACTGCATGTATATATCAATCAGAGCAAATGATCTACATTTAATAGTAAATTGTGGGGTTAATAAAACATATAATTTCATAAATCTCAATTTCCTCACAATTAACTTACAATGTCTTCACAAAAACATAATCCTCAACTTATTGCTGTTGGTAACTTGTTCCAACACTTTATTGTGACCTATTTGCTGTAAACTAGGTGGACTTTCAATAATTAAAAAATGCCTGAAGGAGAAAAACAAACATGTGTTCCTATATGAATGTTCAATTAGAACTCAATGAGACAATTTTATTATTTGTGCTGTTAATGAAAATAATAATACTTCTTTTTTGAATTTCACACAAATAGCCTGGCCCACAATGAATTTGAAATTATAAAAAAAAATTTTTTGAAATTTTATTATGTTTTAATCTATCAAATCTCACTTTCCTCTATAACAAAGCATTCTGAAATTTTATTTGATTACAAAAATTTTTTGTCTTTTTAAAAACCAGGTTTTATTTTATTCTTTCACATGATTTTTTTTTAAGTTACATATTGTGTATGTACTAACTTTTCATGATGATCCTTACACATTTAGATGTTTTTATATGATGATCACCCCAAAATTTATTTAATAAAATGCTCTGATTCATATACGGATCAGCAATTAAATCATGCACAAACATAACAGCCTGATAGTTTGATTGACATAGTGGTGCAGCCTTGGTTTCCATGCAATTTTTTTTTATTATATAATTAATTATGTATCTTTAATAAAACAAACATGACTTAGCTATTTAATCATTTCCTTGTATGTGAATGCCTCCATCCGTCAAATATTCATGATGGTCATGATTATTATTCAATACATTTGATATCATCATTGACATAACAAACAATTGCATCACCCAGGTAGTAACAATACCAAGGCCATGCATTAACAAAACTTTTAATAATGCATGTCTACCCAGATCCCTGGGGTTCACAAAATAAATTTTCTTCATGATTATCAATTATGGTTTCTTATGAATAATAAATCTGATGTTGATCGCAGGTGTCAGATTTAATTAAAATTTTCCTAGAACAAACAAGCAAGCGCCGTGCAAAGCATCAATTCAGCACCATGGATTTTATTCCACAGGTGAAAGTGACTTGAACAAGTTGGAAGGCTTTGGACAAAACTTTTCTTATCTTCCTCTCAGATCAGACTTGGCTGCTTCTATACAGGCATTTATCATTGATGAATATCAGCATTTGTGTGATGCTTGCATTGTGTTATACCCCTCTAGAATAAAGTTGAAGTTGGCACCTGCAACTGGTTCAAAAATTCTCCAACTTGGAAGGTTGCAACCTGGGTTGCTATCTTGGATTTAGACACACCAACTCACCAATAACCTACCTCATTCAAATAACAAATTCAATTGGTCAAATAAAAATTAAAGAGATACAGAAAATTTGGGAAAATGATTAATTTATAACATACCAAACAAAATCTGAACCATTTTATTTTACAGCTTTCTCCTTGATGTTAGTGATCATGGTGACTATCACAATAGGAGTGGGCAGGGTCGAGCTGCCATCTTTATACTTGCTCTCATTGAGCTACACTCCTTTATTAACCTAGGGTTGGTTATATGAACAGGAGCCCCCATTTAAAAAGTAACAAATTCAATTGGACAAATAACAAAAAAAAAAAATTAAAGAGATGCAGAAAATTTGGGAAAATGATTAATTTATATAACATACCAAACAAAATCTGAACCATTTTATAACTTTTTTCTTGTTGGCCACATTGCTAGCAAAGATGTATATAATCATGCAATAATTTTAATCTATACAACAGAGTACTGATTGGGAAAAAACCCCATTCAATCCCCTACCCAAAATTATTAAATTGGTTAGAATCAGAGAAACAGAGAATTTAGGAAAGTGATTATACAAAACAAACACTATTTTACAACTTTCCTCTTGACATCAGAGCCCGATGCAATTTCAGGGCCACCAACCCTGCTCTGAATCGCAACCTCCTGTGCTTGAAACAAGTTGCAGATTCTCTAAATATTCCTCCAGAGTTGCAACAGCTTGGTCACAGAGCCATCCTTGCCCCAGAGGTGGGATCGTTGCAGGCAACTTTTCAACCAGCATGCCAGCAGCCATCTCTGGTCTGGGGCTGTAAGGGAAGATTAGTGAAAGTGTCATTGACAATTGATGCAGTCTCGATAAACTTCCAGGGCCATGCGCCTCCCCCCTGGTATCGAAGGCATCATCATATCCATAGGGCGGAGCAGGTCAGATTAGCCTTATGTACACGAGGAACATGTGTGAATGACTGTAAAGTGTTCAAGGTAGCGTGCGTGCTTCAACATCTGTAAATTTCCGATAATCAAACATCGCATATCAAATTGTTTCTTTTAAACGGTGTATTGCCTTGACATCTTGTAATTATATATTAATAATAGTATTATTATTATTACGATTACGCAAAGTAAAATATTATCAATGAAAATCTTGTAATTACCCCAGCAATGATCTGCTCCGCGTTTTGATTCCAATTAAAATATTTATAATAACCAAAAAATATCAATACAAATAAAAAAAAGTACCTCTGGTTAGTTATTAACACGTATTCTTTAGGAGACCCAAACCAAACCAAACCACTACACT